CAGGATAAGGCCAGTCGTGTCATTAGTGCTGCACAAGTGCTGTGGCTTTAGTCCCCATTAAACTGTGTGTGCAGCCATGTGCGTATGTATACAGTGAGTATGTGCACCTACTGGGAGCACACACTCAGCCATGCTGGGTTTGGAGCATGTGGCAGACTTGGGGCTACGGGAATTGGCAGCTCCTAACAGAATGTTATGATTTTTAGATTTTTAGTACTTCTGCTTGCTTATGACCTTTAAATAAAAACCTTTTAGTCCTATATTAAACAACATTGGGTATACACTTGTCATTCCTGTTTAGGAGTTGGAGTTTTTTGAGTTTTCCAATTTAATGTAATTTATGATGCACAAATGAGTCAAAAACTGGCACAACAATAAATTTCAAATAAATATAATGAGTTTCTTAACAATAATAAGATGACTAACTTTAGAAATAAATGCCATTTGTTTTAGCTCAACTCTTGCCATATGCTAGACTGAGCTCAATCTGTACATTTACAGAGCTTCAAAGAACATATTGTATATCATGGTATTATGTACTTGTTTAGCAGATTACTTTTGCCTGATTTTTTTTCTACTCCCACTTCGCTTTTGTTTAGTTTCATTGCATTACTTTCATTTATTTCAGTGCAATGCAAGGGAATTTAAATGGTCTGTTGCTCTACTTCATGTAATTTGGTATAATTCAAGTTAGAGGGAATATGTTCTGTGGTTTCTAATTGTATCTTTATGGTCAAAATATGTTCACCCAAGTTTTGTTACATTTAAATATAAAACAGAAACATGTACAAATATGTTTACATACAATACACAAGACCTTTATGTAATAAAAATCAGACAGCTTACAGATTCTTGGGGAAGTAAGGAGAGGGGTCAGCAGAACTGCTGCTTTGGACTTCCAGAGGGAAGATTTTGACCTGTTAAGGAGACTGGTTAACGGAGTCCCCTGGGAGGAAGTCCTGAAGGGCAAAGGAGTCCTGGAAGGCTGGATTTTCTTCAAGAAAAAAACACTTAAAGGCACAGGAACAGGCCATCCCCATGTGCCAAAAGACAAACTGTCAAGAAAGAAAACTGTCCTGGCTGAACAGAGAACTTTCACTGGAACTCAGACAAAACAAAGAAGAAGGGGCAGGCAAATCAGGAGGACTACAAGGATCTTGTGAATTTAAGCGGGGAGAAAACTAGAAGGGCCAAAGCCCAGCTAGAACTTAATCTGGCCACTGTTGTAAAAGGCAGGCTCAGGGGAGACCTTATCGCTTCCTACAACTACCTGAAAACAGACTGTGGCAAGGTGGGTGTTGGTCTCTTCTCCCAAGCAACAAGCAGTAGGTCAAGAGGAAATGACCTCAAGCTGTGCCAGGGAGGTTTAGACTGGATATTAGGAAAATTTCCTTATGGCAAGGGTTGCCAAGCTTTGGAACAGGCTGCCCAGAGAACTGATTGAGCCACCACCCCTGGAGGCATTTAAAAAGATGTGTAAACGTGGCACTTAAGGACATGATTTAGTGGTGGACTTAGCAGTGCTAGTTTAATGGTTGGATCTGATGATCTTGAAAGTCTTTTTCAACCTAAATGATTCTATGAGTCCATGATTATACATTTATACTTGATACAGTCCACGAAAAACAGATGTAGAGTTGCACACATTGCTCAGGAGATGTGTGGCAATGTTAATCTTGCACATCAATACTGGGTGGCAGTTCAGGACAGGAAGTGGCAACAACTGCTTGCTGCAAAGCTTACAGAAAGAAGGATATGCTCTGTTGCTCAAACCAGTCTCAACGTTCACAGAATCACAATAAATGGACTCATAAGCGATCAAGATACCTAAAGAGATATCCTGTTCTGTAGTGTGACAAAGCATCAAAAAAATAAAAATGCTTTCCAGGAAGACACTGGCCTAGTCTGCACTTTAAAAACTCCCATGATGTTTTTTCCCTTCCTCCTTATGGTACGTGATATAAAGCTTTATTTGCTCCTGAAATTTTCAGTTCCGATTCGAAAATCGCACCTACTGCCAGGTAGGCACACTACTTCTTGTCCTATGCACTGTGAACATGGAGAAGGGATTATCCCCCTTTGTTTGTAGTGGTCCTTCACAGTTTTGAATGCTTTTATACATTCCATCACTTTCTAATCTTTAGATTAAACAACTATCAGTCTTTTGGGTTGCACCTTTTAGACCTTCCACCATTCTTAAGGCTGTCTTCTGGATTGTCTCTACTTGGTTTAGAACTTTCTTGAAGTCTAGTGACCCAAAGTGGACCAAGCACAGAGTGATACAACAGGGAGACAAACTGAAACATTACCTCTTTTAAAGGTAGTATTTCCCTTCTAACAAAGAATGCCCTGCATTCTTCACTACCAAAGACCTCACCCATGCACCAAGCAAAAGCAGTGGTCCTCAGTGGTTGTGTCTTTCATTACACAGAGCCAGCATTGGTAACACTGGCTGTACTTGCAGTTTGTAATGCTGTACTAGAGCACTCAGAAGACACATTTATTTCAAGACACTACCCTTCGGTGCATGGCTAGACTTGTCCACCAGGGCAGTTCCTCTGGCTGCCACATGTCCTTAGTAGAGACCTTTTTACTTGAGTTCTCTTGGAAGTGTGCTGCATGCCTAATAATTTGCTTTGGACACAGTAAGAGGCCTGTAATTATCTATGTTACTATACTTCTTTTCTTTCTTGTCTCTCTAAAGTGGAAGTAAGGTCCATTTCTCACTTTAAGCAGTGCCAACATCTAGTAAAGAATCCTCACTTAATATGACCATTTAATGTTAAGCATGTTTAAAATCATGGTGGAATGAAGTATAAGCTTAAACTTGTCATGAATTAAAAATTAATAAAATATCTGAATATGTTTCTAGCTTCTCCATGGACAAATTCCCAGTCACGGTGACAGAATATGCATCAAAATTGAGGTTAGCCTTTGCCAGAACGGCTATATACTAGCAAATGGAGTGCCCTTTCCTTCCAGAAGGGCTATCTACAAACACCCTAGTGGCAAATTTCAGTTCATGATTTTTTTAACAATTAAAAGCAAAATAAGAAAAGTAATGATGATAAACTGTAGTGCATTGTTCCTAGGATAGTGAAAACTAATTTGTTTTTTCTAACAAAAAAAAACCATCTGTGTAAGCACAGTGAAGCTCACAGTGGCTACTGCCTTAGTCTGGAATACATCTTTCATATAAGATGGACTCCAGCTCTGCCCTCAGCTGGAGTTGACATTTTGGTGTAAGAACAATTGGATGAACTGGAGTGACATTATATTCTCGTGTAATCTATAAAGAGGAAGAGATTTTTAAAAGCCACATCTTCTTCACATTAAACTTAAACCAGCTGTACAGAAATCAGTACGGTTTCTGTGGCTTCCTGCTATAACTGATAGGCAGAATGTACCTCAGCCATTTAAAACACGCAGTGCATGCAATTTAGAGAATGAAGCTTATTCTAGCAACTACTTTTCTTTGCTGAATTGCTTCAAATAATAGTAATATTACTATATGAAAGCTAAGCTTTTGTAGTGAAGATGTTCCCTCTGATGTTAATACTCATACTCTCAACCTAGGAAGTTAAAATAAAATGGCATTTTCTGAAAGGGACAGCAAAGTGAGGGATTTATTCACCAAAAATATCTATGTGGAAAGGGGAAACTCAGGGGCATGTCAGCATCTACTTCCTTTGTCATCTTTGATGCTGCAAGAAGCATGGGGTTATGACAAAGATGGAGGACAAAGGTAGGAAAGCACTGAATGAAAAAGGCTTTGCAGTTCTCCCACACAAAAAAACCCTAAACAAACAAACAAACACCAAACTGCAAACAAAACAACAAAACCAACCAAATAATAAAATAAACAAATAAAACCCTAGCCAAAGGAAAATCAAAGCAAACAAAACCCAACCCAAAACAAAGCCCCGACAACTCTTGAATTTCAGGTCCCATATGCTTGGCTACACTCATTGTCATGAAGAGAGAGTTTTTGTGGACAGCTGGAGGTGACCTAGATACCTACACCTCAGTTTCACAAGAATCCTCCTGGTATGTCTGATTCTTTCACACGGTATCCCAGCTCCAAGTGTGTGATCCATAACTGTGTGTTGTGTCAGGATAAGTGACACAAGTGTAATTGTTCCCGTCAGAAGGGTACCCTAATGTGAACATGACTAGCACTAAAGGAAGGGATGGTGCTGACTAATCATTGCTGCCTAACTCGGATTTCATCCATCCACCCAGTAAACACACTGCATGCTAATGTAGAATCACTGCAGCACTGCCAAAAAGATGAACACCAAGGGGTACATTGGCACCATTTCTCCCAACTTCTGCTCTATATGAGTGTTTTTCTTTTGCAGCAATAAAGACCACAGATGAGCAATCCTTAAGCAGAAAAATATCCTTTTGTCTACTGTATGAAGCAAGCTTTAATTGTAACAATAAAAATGAAGGGGGTGGGGGGAGGGAAGCACAGACAAGTCTCAAGGACTGCAAAACGTCTTTTGAAGAGGCAGAATCACATTTTACCCTAGTGTCACAAACACTGTTGCATGGCTAGCGTGCTCTGAGCCCAGAACTGTCAAACCCTCTTTTTGCTGGCTGCTTGTGTCCTGCTGCTGTTATGTAAGTGCCGGTGGTGTCCCAGTTTGCTGGTGCAGCTCCCTGCCTTGTGCGCGACGGTGCTCTGGAGCCTACGCTAAAGGTAATGCCCTGCAGAAGGGTACGCAATGCAACAATAATAATAGTAGTACGACTAGTGATAGCAATTAGCAGCGACAGCCCGGTACATTCTCAGAAGTATTCTGGCTCCTCTCCCGAGCGCAGTTCGGGGGGTGTTCAGGTTCGGGGCCGGTGTCTCATCCCCCGGTTCCCGAGAGCAGCGGCCAAAGCAGCCGCTCCCGGACAAGCCGCCCTGGCCTTGCTGCAGCCGCGGTGGGGCGGGGCGAGGCGGGCTCCCCCCGCGGAGCATCGCAAGGACAGCGGGCTCAGGGGCACGGGGTGGGGGGCCTGTAGCCGGGAGGCGGCCGCGGCCTGGGAAGCGCTGCTGGGGCCAGGCCCGGTGCAGCCCGTACACGCAGTCCCGCTCGCCGCCTTCTCCGCCCCCCCGCACCTGCTTGCTCGCCGCGGGCCGGCGCGGCGTGGCGTACTCGGTAACCAGGGAGCGACGCCGGGCGCACCGAGGCGCGGAGCAGAGCGGTACAGTGCGGAGCGGCGGCCAGAGGTAAGAAGCGGCGGCGGTGGGGGCGAGGGGCCGGGGGTGCCAGAGTCGCGGCGCGCCCCCCCCTGCAGGGCTGCGGGCGTTCAGCAGGGGCCGCCGCCTCGGTAAACCCAGGGTGAGCCGCTGGACCGCGGTCAGGAAGAAGGGACCCCCATGGGGCAGCCTTGCCGGCTGCACCCCTCTCCAGCCGCTGCCTTCTCCGCAGAACCAAACTCTCTTGAGGTTAATTGGAACTCTCTACCGTGGTTGCGGAGCCTGCGTTTTCCTGCGTGGATTTGAGGTTTTGGCTTTTCTGAGTACGGGGGAAGAAAATCCCGAAGGAGGGCTGTGGTTCGCCCCCTGAGTCCACGTGTATGTTGCAGCGATACCCGGTTTTATGCTCAGTCACACATTGCAGGCCAAAATGTAGTTCTTCAAGGAAGGTCTGAGTATTCCCATGCAATTCCAAGAAGCCTGTGTTAGGCTGGGTTTTCTGCAGTGATGGTGCAAAAAAGGAGAAGTGCACCACAACAATGATGTGAGAGTCCCTATGTTCTCTGGTATATGTGGTAACTCCCTGGAGGTGAGACCTGCTGAAATACTAACAGACAAGGTTGTTACTAGGATTCTGACAATCATATTTTCAACCATGTTCATGCTGGGGAAAAGTGCTTGTAAGATTAATTGTAATCTGCTACAATAGACCAGATTTTGCAAACTGAGGAGGAATTACTTATGTAAATCACCTCCATGACGCTGAGGGAAACTCCTGTGCTCGTCACTGTGAGGGATTTGAACCTGTGTGGCTCGTAGGGAAATAGTATGTGGTGTTTCTGGCTGCTTGCCAGCACTTTTCAAGCTCGGAGCCTGTTGAAACACTGTTAACAGGCACACACTTTCCTGTAGTAGTACTAGTGATGGATTGTCTGCTTTGTCTCATCTCTGATAATTATTTTCATGATTCTCGTGTGCACTTTAACACTTAAACCAGACCCCAAGCTATAAATGCTGATGAGCTATGTTAATTATTTCCACTGGGCAGAGAATATCAGGGTGCTGTGTTATTTTAATGAGTAAATGCTGTCTTTGTTTGTTGCACTAAGTGTTGTGTTCTGAGTGACATGGCAAAACTGGTTTGTGAGATGCAGTGTTAAAATTTGTAGAGTTATTAACTTTTTTTTTCCTTTTTTTTTTTTTTTTTCTGGTAAGAGTTCATATTCGTTGTCATATGGGATGTTTATCATACTCCTTAAAGCACCAAAGTTTCCCCTGGAAAAAGGAGCTCTCCAGACTGAACATGGTGCTGCATGTTCGAATGATTCAGTGTTCATCTTTGTAAACTCTTGCCGAGTGTGAAAGTAGAAATAATAATAAATAATGTTCATTTAATTCCTGTTCATAGTGTTGGGGGTGATTTGGTTGGTTGTTTAATAGTACCTTCAGTGATTACACTTGTCAGTGGAAATTCTGTGTTGCTGAATACAAAATATGAATGGATAGGTATTAATAACTGATGAACCCAAACACATTTTACAGGTTTGATACGGATTTTATTTATTTTGTTTTATTTTTATTTTAATTTTACTTTAATTAATTTTGGGGGTTGGAACTAGATGATCTTAAGGTCCTTTCCAACCCTAATTATTCTGTGATTCTATGATAAGTGCCAGTAATGATTTGGACTGCTGCACTTAGTACAGACACACGAACCTCATCATGACTGTACACCTTCATGCAGCATTACTTTCTCTTTATTAAACGGAAGAATCCTCAAAGGATTTTGTGGTGTGTTGTTTTTTTTTTTTTACTTTGGGACCTTTGGAGCGCCTCCTTGTGCAGTAGAGCTATGCTGAGTTACGCAGCCTGAGAGCAAGTATGTTGCTCAAGCTTACACTTTAATAGTGTGTCAATGAGAGCAGTGGAGCACAGGGAAGGAGGAGCAGCACCTTTCAGTATGTAAATGCATTAAGGGAGAAGATAGTGCCTGGCCTTGAGGAGGATTTTGCTGGGTGAGGCACTGAACAAGGTGTGAACTCCTGGAGAGCTTTCAAGGGCGAGTGATCAGTGTGGGTCTACAAGCATTCAGTGGATCAGTCCCCAAGAGATATCCACATGTATTCACTCTTTGGACAGACCTCACATTAATGCAGCTCAGTTATGCTTTGTTAAAGGAAGTCAGTTGTGATTGTTTGTTTCTTTTCAAGTAGTGGCTGTGGTTATTGGGAAAGTACATACATCAGACATAAACAATTATTTCTATACTTACCCGTTACTATAGGTAGTGACAAAACTTTAGTGCTCTTGTGTCTCCTCAGAGGTCACAAAAAATAACAGTATCAGTGTACATCTGAAGCAGCCAAACTTTCGCTTTTGTTTCACTCAAAGGCACAGATTTAATGGGAAAAACAGAGGAGTTTCTGCTTTTCCATTCATATGGCAGCTGTATTTGCCCCTTGCTCACAAATTATACTTCAGCTAAGCTGTCTTGCCTCGGAGATGTGCAGAAATACCAAAGAATTGATGCTTACTTGCTTATCTCAGACTTGGCTTGACCCACCCTTTCCTGAGATACCTCAATGTTTCTATTTTAGTGGCCTGGGTTTTTTTCTCCTACAGATGTATCTGTGCAAAATCCTCCTGCTATAGGCAGTATTATGCCACAGAAATCCTAGGTGCCATATCAGTATTAAAAGAGAAAAATCAGCAGTGACTCTCTTACCATTAACCAGCTTACAAATTATAGCCAAACTTCACTCTGTCCTATTTGCCTGCATATTGCAACCTCTGATCTTAATCTTGGCCTGTCTTTGTCTGTACAGATATAGTAAGCTCTATGAGGCAAGGATTATATCCTGTGTTTGTAGAAGGTTATGAGCTACTGATCCCAGTCTCCTGCTGTTACCAACATCTATAGAAACTATAATATGTTCCTGAAGAATTTCAATAGCAGGATTACTAAAGTGTAGCATACACTGTATTTAACATTTCATATCAGAAAGACAGTGAATGGCCTTTCTTTGAATATATCCAACAATGTATGTTCTGATAGTTTTTAGAAAAAATAAGAAGCCTCTGCCATGTATTTTCTCCTAGAACACTTTGCATTTTCTGTTCAAATGGAATTACAGCTTTCTAGACAAAAATCAGAGTTTCATACCCTTGGAGTTTTGCCTATCCCTAAAAAAAGACTAATAGAAAGTAAAAAAATGAAGCGTTCACTTGCTGAAATGTAAATACATACATAGGTGTGTGCATGGCTAAGGTCCTACAAATAATTTGTAAATACTAGAATACGGTTATAGATAAAGTGTATAGATAAAATGTGTGCCACATAGGCCACGGTTTTGAATGCCAGAAATACAAATTAACTTGAATTTTCCATATTAATAAATTGCTGTTGCAAATCCTCAACTTTCTGCAAGATGAGGAACTCTTGTTCAGCTCCGCATAATGCTGAAGAATGACTAGAGGAATCAAAATAATCTGGACCTCCAGAAAGGACCCAAACTTGTCTCTCTCTTCCTCCCTACACTCCCCAAGACAAACAGATTTTAATACCTTCAGGTAACTAGTGCACATAAGTCAGTTTGGGGTTGGATGGTCAGTGAGAGCATCTCATTTTAGTGTTCCTGTTTCAAAGTGTTCTTTGTCAAAGATAATAACCTGTCTCTTCTTCCATCTTTTTCTATTCAAAAGCAATCCATGCAGTAGAGAAAGGAAGCACAGAGTGACAGTGCTATCAAAAACAGGTTTCAGAGCCAAAATGGCATTTTCCATGACCTATGTGGTGCACAGTTATATCCCATTGGACTTGGGAAAGTTCCAGTACGCACTGACGTTGGGTTTAAGCAAGCAGCTAGAGATTTGTATCTCAACCATCTGTAACAATTAGCAAAGGTACTCTTCTGCTGGCCTGGATTTTGGAAGACCAGTGAGGAGGTACTGCATTTTCTTAGAAGATAGTATAAGAATCATTTGAATCACTCCACCCCATTTCTTCATCCTAGCTCCGAGTTTTAATGTATCCAGTAGGCATTACTTGCAGCTTGACAGATTTATTCAAATAAGTTTACAAATGGATTCCCAACCCATCAGCCACAATTTTTAGTATTCTAGGATTAATTTTATCAAGTTTTTTTCCACTTCTAACTTTGATTTTATTTCAGATGGTGCTTTTTCCATTTCTGTTGTGCCTTTGTCTTTCAGAATTGGGTTCAGTGGAAAAAACAGTATAATACTAGCCGAAGCAAATTAATCTCCACTTGATCTTATTTTCTACTTCCTTTTTACTTATTTAACTAAGAACTGTTTGCTTGCTTTCTTCACTTCCTTAGTCTAACTCAGCTGGTCTTTCAGCAAGTCTCTCTTCATCCCTGTGGAGAGTACGAACTATGGGAGAGCAGTTTACTTCTTATCCTTTATTTCTTCCCACTTATTTCTGACTGATAGCTTTTCCAATTGTGCCTGGAACAGTTTTATTCTGCTTTTCATAGGTGTATAGTTATTGGACCTTGGACTTAAAGAAATTTCCAGTGTTTCACAGGGGAGAGGGACCCTGTGCTCTTCTGTCTGGTTGACTTCTGTAACTGATTTCCCTTTTATTTATTTTTGAGCACTGTCTCTTTAGATAATATCCTGACCTGCTTACGTGCTTTGGGTTATTCTTCTAATAGGGTGGACTACATCAATCATTTCCTTAGTTGGAAGTATTTTCTATGATTTGTTTTGCCCTCTCCCCCACCCCACCCTGCTTCTAACTAAAGCCCAATGTAAAATAGCTGGTTCTGTGATTGTCTGATGTTTAAATGCAGTTATGACTTTCAGAAAATTCTGGTTCCTACCTTTCTGTGAATCATTTATTCCTGATTGACACAAGGATCACTGCTGCCTCACAGAATTGCGTCCATTCCAGCAGTGACTTATCAGTCTGGCAGCACTTTCAAGACCTCTTATGTTTCAGAAGCAGAGCCTGTGAATCAAAGGGGACCCCTAGTGCTACAGCAGTAAACCATGCTTGGAAGTTCTTTCCTGGAAGTGTTTTTTGACTAGATCAGTTCTGTACCACTGTTTCTTACCAGGGAAGTCTACCTCTTTGTGCTCCAGCACTTGACCTTCTGTTATCCTTTAGATTGTTTTCAGTGCTATAGTTCTTTTAGTTATTCCACTGTATTTCTTGTATCTATGTAACATCTGACTTCTAGCTGCAGGAGTTTCTTGAATTTATTACTCTGTGGTTTTTGTCCTCTCAAATATCTCTTTTTATATGTCCCAGATTAGAAACAGTCCTTTTGCTGCTTGCCACCTGCCTATTTCTTGCTCTTAACAATAGCTTTACTTATTTATCAGTGTTTATTGTTGCTTGGCTGGAGTCTCTTTATCCATTGCTGCTATAATAGGAGATTATAGAAGTCTAAAACTCTTTCCTGGTACAACTGTGCTTTCACATCAGTAGTAATTATCCCCAAGCTGCTATATGTGGCATCAACCCAGTGTAATGACTATCTGCAATTTGTGCAAACACGAAGGACAGTCAGAGAATTTTTTACCCTTTTATTGTTCAGGTTTATCTTCAGTCATTGTTGCCAATATCATATGTTGTCTGCACCTAGCAGATGTCCCTTTGGTTTTCTGGAACCGGTCTGCTAACAGGCATGTCTGTTGTATAAATTTTAAGAACTAAGAGATAAAATACAGCCTGGTCTTGCCAGTGGTCCTCTAGGTTTAACAATAAAGGGAAAACATATTCTGTTTTTTAATTGCAGATAATTAAAAACACTGCCAAGGATAATGAAAAAATAAGGATTACACTGGGAACCTGGAAAAGTTAGCCCATAATAAATCTAGTCTTTTTATTGTCTCTTCCACAGAACAGGCATCCTACTTTTCTGCTACTTGAAGAGACAAACAGTACAATCCAGAGAATTGTAAACTGTATATTACTATATCAAATTGCTAGGCCTAATGGCTTTCATATGAGACAAGTTCGTGTTTCCTCTTTTCAACTAAAAACAGAGTACGAGGACAATAATATAAGAAAATAATGTCACTGTAACTAACTTCATCCATTAAATCCAGATAAGTGGCAAATATAATTTAAAAAAAAAATCTAATTTATATGCAAAACTGTTCCATTTCACTCTTGTGTATTTATTCCCTGTATGTTCAGACCAAGAAATTAATAATTATCAACAATGAATAATCACTTGTTGAATGCTAAAACACCAAATAGCTCATACAGTCCCTCAGGTTTATTTCAGGCTGATTGATGAGATTTAAGCCATACACTTTTTAAAAAACCTGTGTCTTTTGACAACACATCTATCTGAGATATGTCTTTTTGCCTAGCACTGAAATGAAAAGGTCATTCTATTTATTTATTTTGTGTAACAGCTATGAAAATGTTTAGTTAACATTTAATAAAGATCTTAATGTTTACAAAACTGAGGAACATAATCTTGCAGTAGGAAAAATCTTTTCTTGCAGGCTTTAACTCTATGTAGAAATCAGAAAAAAATTTCCCTCTGCATTACACTGAATAGCTGACTGGGCATGTAGTTTTTTCTTGTTCTCTGGAGCTTCAGATGTTGGCTGAAGACGGGCAAGAAGTGTGTGTGTAGCTTAATTTCATCTATCCTGATGATGTCTTAGCTATTTTTTTTCTGCCTGTGGAGGTGGCTGTGCACACAAGAATCTCTCCTTCGCACCTGTACTAACTTGGTGCCTTCTTTAAATGAATTAATTCCCACTGCTTGCAAAGGAGCTTTTGAATGAGGAGCCATATTTAGAACTACAGATTCTTCTTATGTAGCTTATAATTTAATATCAGCTAGATAAATTATTAATTGCAAGTCTGCCATTATCGCTGCACAGTGACTCAGCCTGCTGTATGAGTAAATATAACATACATCTTCATTATAATTTCCCAGACGCTTTTAACTTGGAGTTGGATCAGCATCTTCCACAGCTCCTCTAAATCTGCTCACATACAGCTGATTTACACCAGCTCCGTCACAGTGCAAGTGGGCTGGTATTCTGATGTTGTTACTGCTCTTAGCCAGAAAACAGTCAGACAAGGCATTTTTAATACCCCTTATCTCTGCCCAACAATTAGTTTAGCAGCCTGCTATTAAAAGTTGCTGTACCTCACCTACAGTACTGCTCAAAATATTAGCAGTGCCACTGCTGCAGAAACAGGGCTTCATTAACCCACTGTGTTATAAATATTTCTGGGTTGGATGGGGCTAGACAACCTGATGTTTCATTTAATTATGGCAAAGAAAGCAAAGGTCACCAGGATGGCATATGTGCATATGTGAGCATGAGCCACTGAAAACCTCCTTTTGCTCCCCACTGAAGTCAGGCACTGTTTGGTGTTTGCTGTGGGAGAGCTATGCTTGCCAATGTTCTGTGAGGCAACTCAGTTGCACCACAGGACCCTCAGCCTCAGCCTATGTTGCAGCTGAGAGATGTGCTGATGGCACCTTCTTCTCCCTAGCTGTTGCAAGGTGAGGTTTCCTACCTGCCAGGGTGCCTTTCCATACCTGGGAGATGGTGTCTGATATGCACAGTGTTTGCACACCCTGAAAAGGAGCGGGACAAGGCCTGGAAGGTGGGGAAGAGGAATGGAAGGGAGGAGATCCCTGAAGAAGAGAGGCATGCATGGGAAGAGAGTAGGTATAGGAACATCTGTATGTCTTGTGTAAAGTGTAGACATAAGTAAAAATAGCAGTAACTTCATCAGAGTAGGTACTGGGATCAGTCTGGCAGTGGCCTGCAGGAGTGTAGCTTGTGTGCATGGTGGACCTTTTCCTACATGATGATTCACAGGAAGTGTGCTTCCCTCAGTTCCACTCATTTAAAGCTAGCCTGAGTCTGCAGACCTGAGCAGTGCTTATGTATCCAAAATACACGGTAAACATACAATAAAAGTATCAGTAAGAGGGAAAGCAGGGAGTTCCCTTGGTCAAGCAGGGTTTGAAGGCTCAGAAAAGGAAATGCTGAAATGTGATTTCCTCTGGCAGACCTTACATGTTGACATAGCTCCTCTGGAACAGTTCAGCGTGCCTAAAGCTGTATGGCCTATAGGCTTGTTTGTCTGAAGTTGAAGGACTCTATCCTCTGACAGACCTTAGGGCTAGGGAAAGAGGAAAGTGCACAGTGCCAGTAAACCCACTAATATTTGTGATATTGGACAACTGTATATCATCCTGAATTTGGCATCTGTAGTATGAATCAAATTATTCTTGGTGTCTATACACTGAGTATGAACAGCGGCATACATACACAACATGTACTTGTTCCGCAGAAAACAAGATGTTATTGATAACGTTATCTGAATAATCTAATTGGATCTTTGGTTTGGTTTTTTTTTTGGACCAGATTTATAGTCACGTAGATCTTACTATATCAAGTTCATGTAGCAGTTCTACTTCACAGGTTTTGATGTTAAATGACACCAAATACATCTTTATACACTTGAAAAGTAAATGTAAATATGATTTTAATAATAAAGCATATGAATCTCAATATTTCAGATTTGATCACATAGTCCAGTGGAGTTAGGGATTATTCTGATCAACAAGTTACTATTATGTGCTCCTTCACAGCATGGTGAAATAGGATGAGTTCAAGGCCAGGTTGGACGAGGCCTTGGGTGATATGGTTTAGAGCGAGGTGTTCCTGCCCATGGCAGGGGGGTTGGAACTTGATGATCTTAAGGTCCTTTCCAACCCTAACTATTCTGTGATTCTATGCAGCTTTTGAATTTTGCAAGTGTTTTGCCTTTTCCTCCTTTACACCTAATATTATTTACATCAAGGAAGTATTACAGTATTATTTTACTATGTATACCATCATTGTTAGTTATAAATGACATCCACAAGCATCTTCAGGAAAGCATTGATGTCTGGTGCATTGCCAATTTTTTTAAATGATTTGTTTTTGCAGCTTCATTCCACTGCCGATTGCCAAGCAAGCTTTCAGCATTAATTGTGTCTCTGGCTGGGGTGTACTCTATGGCTAAAACATACCTCTCTTTATGTGTTAAAACAGCTATTAAGACTCAGACTTCTTAGTTTGCAGAGGCAGTAAAAGTTTCCTCTAAGCCTTGTTCTTTCTTTCTCAGGTGCTGAGGTTGCTTGCCTGTGTTGTTCACTGGTGCTGTGAGGGCTGGCGTTAGACTGGAGGCATCTGACTGCCCCAGTCAGAGGGTTGAACCCTAAAAGATCCTCATCTCACTGAAAACACTGTCTTGGAGGGAGAGCTCTGTCAGGGAAAGTGGACTCGCTGCAAAGAGATCATGGCCTCATCCCGACTAGTGGCAAGATCAAGAGATATTGCTAATGTCATGCAACGACTTCAAGGTAAGAGACTGACTCGGGCTCGTGGCCTCTGCCACCCATTCGTAAATGGAGGTTCTTGTTTTTTGCTATGGTGCAGAGTCATGACAATATTTCTGAAGTTTAATAACTGTTCCAAACTTACCTACTGGAAAATATTTGTAGTATATCTGAGGGACTCTGATTAAATAAGTCCTTCAGTATAACATTAATAGAGGTTTTTAAAAGCAACAGGTATTATTAAACCATCGGTGATATGGTTTAGTGCGAGGTGACCCTGCCTATGGCAGCAGGGTTGGAACTTGATGATCTTAAGGTCCTTTCCAACCCTAACTATTCTATGATTCTATGATTATGAGACTGGTTTCTGTTTCCTGCACATGATCTAATTGTTCATCAGTTTTCTTATAGAAAAGAGAATAGAAATTATATCTGACCTTTTTTCAACTATGAACTGTACAGGTAGTAGAGTAATATTTACTAGTTTAGCAATACTTGCTGCCTCTAAACAAGAGCTATACGTCATTATGTTCTTAAGCATTAAAGAATTCATAACTCAGTAAGCTAATTATTAATGCTGAAGTGGATAACCTTTTAGATAACATACTGCAGGATGTCTTTGCAGTATTCATTGAGCATTCTTTATGGTCTTAAGTTCTTATAGTAAAGCATTAATAGTTTTATCTTTTTAGAAGGTATACATCTAATTGCTGCAGCTAAAATCATGCATTCAGAATGTATGGTTTTGTTCAAATGATGATATCGACTAGAAACAAAACATCAGTGCTGCTGTACTGTTTCACTCCTGACTTTTAAACTTGACCATAAATCCCTGACCTCTTACTTTCTTTACACACCAGCTTCTACTGACTTCAGCAAAAGCTTACAGGCACAGAACCCTTACTGCCTCTCTCTGCATCTTCTAAATCTGGAAGCTTTTATTTTCGCATGGCTTTTCCTTCCATTTATTGTTTTTCAGTTCAGGATATTTAAACTCAGCTTCCAAGCCACCAGCTACGACTAGCAGGCATAATTTCCATGTAGTCTCAGTATATAAATAAAGGAGTAAACAAAGATGCACGGTCTGTCCTATCTAGACCTGCTACAGCACTTTTGCAGTTCCAAAATGCTTCTGCTTGTTGTTCCTCAGCTTGTTATACAGTTACTATCTTTTCCCTTGTTATTTTTGTGTTGGCTAATTCTTAGGCTGCAGTCTTACTAACTGGTTGCTCAAAGTGCCCACAAACATAGTGAGGAAATATTCCCTGCCCAGAGAATGTGTGGTTTAAGCATTAGGATAAGACATTCCAGGATGATGCAAATGAATGAGAGTGCACGGGTACAATACGGCAACCTTGCCCACAGAACAGGCAAGGGTTTTAGTAAACCCTGTGTGTGTGTATATACATGTATTTGTGTGTAAAAGATGTCATGTTCTTAATAAGAATTCCGGGGGGGGCGGGGGGGGGGAAGAGAGTTTTGAAGCAAGAAATGAAACAATTATGAAGCTCAGAGACTTTCCAAAGAATATGAAGAAATAGGAGAAATGGGAAAGGTTCTTGGAGGTTATGGAGGCGTATTGCAAAGGAAGGGATCAAGGAACTGAGCTATGTTCAGGGAGGATTATCCAGGCTGGTACTCTGAAGCACTGAGTAAGGAGGATGTCACATGACGTATTTACAGAGCATGTGGACCTATTAATTATCAGATTCTTGCATACTAACTTCCTAAACATCCATGCAGCTGTCGCTGACAAAATGGCTGTTCTGTTAATTTGCACTTTAGGTATTTTACGTAATTGTTTCTAACTTTTATGTGTTTTGCTCTGCTGAATTCTGATATATAGTTCAGTCTGCTTTGTGTTCGTGGGCTTCGTCTTTTTGGAAATAAAGCAAAAATAATGAAGTGATCTTTTAAGTGAAAACATTTTAAAAGAAAACATATGAAGTAACTGCAAATTTGGCATTGCCTGTTAGCTTATAGTCACACCTATAACTGGATTCTTTGCTTCTCAGATGAAATCAGTTCAGCTTTGTCTTGCTGGGATCTGAGTTTTGCTGCAGAATCAATACTTCAATAAATCACCTGTGCCAAGATTAGAGTGCTTGTAGCCGAAGTCTTTTTTTAGTCTGTAGTTCTACATTATGGATGAGCATGCAGTCTGCAGTGCGACGACGTTAGCCCTTGTGAACTAAGGTTGCTCTACCTTTCAGATATTATAGTCAGCTGAAATAGGAGCAGATATGAACACAGGAATGCAAAGATATTTCTTGTCATGTTTGCATGGCAGCCCAGAATCGGTGCAGTTGGAGCTGAGTGCACAGCTCAAGGTGAGAGTAGAACTGACAGTATTCACAGTGTAATAGGACTGGAGATGGCTTGGAGGATCCTCAGTCAGTGCCAAGGTAGCAGTTGTGTTTCACAACACCTGCTTTTGTACCTGGCTGTAAGCTGTGGCAGAAGACTTCTTGTGTGACACTGTCAGAGCTGGCAGATGTCAGTCCTGGGCATTTGTCAGCATTGGAGAGAGGTAAAGCAAGCTGTGCTCCCTTCTCCACACTGCTGTCTCATATCCACCTCACACGTTTCAAGTGGTTGTGGTGGGAGAGTATAGGAAAGACCAGAAAAATGCCACTCTTCACTGTAATTCTCAGCACCAGTTTTGAAATCTCTGTTGCACATCCTATAAGTGAGTGCAGTCACATCAGCTGTCCTGAAACTGACAGTGAGCAACAATGTTGGTTCTGGTGGGTTGTTTTGGTCGGTTTTGGTTTGGTTTGGTTTTCATTGGGTTTTTTGGTTGATTGGTTTTCTTTTGTTTGTTTTGTTTTGTTGGTTTCTGTGGGTTCTTGTTGGTTTGTTTTGGTTTGGTTTTTTTATCTTTCGGGTTTTAGGGGGGGTTGTTTTGTTTGAGTTTGTTTGTTTGTTTGCTTTTAAAAAAGCCTTGAACTTTGCTTTGGTGATTATGACAGTTGCAATACACTCTGGAACTTTTACAGAGTTTTTGAATAAGACTGCATGTCACTGCCTCAGAAGTCCACTCGGGACAAACAATCATAAGGATAATGAAGCGTTCTGGGCTGTGGGTTTGTATGCAAGTGGACATACAGCCTGTCTTATCTTGTAGTGCCCAGTTAAAGGCTTGTAGAAGTATTGTACTCTCTGCCCAGAAGTATGGAGGACCTTTAGTCCAGGCCAGCAGGGCACAGAAGAAAGGTGGGCACTGACAATAAGATTTACCATCTCTAATTTCATCATCTCGGTCGTCCTGATGAAAACTGATACATAGGGCTATTCATTATAGCTCAGTCTGCACTAAAGGGAGAGAGACAAGCCACTCCAGAAGGAGTATGATCCTTTGTCACTTGAATTTTAATTAATAAGGGTATGTTTTTGAAGCAAAAATCCTTCCTATTGTATTTTAATTCTGCAAATTTGGTAACATATAAAATAGGCAAGGGTTGTGGAAAAGAGTGGTCTTGCCACTTTAAATGGAAAGGTGGAGAGGTGGATCTGTGGATAGGCCACCCCCATAATAATCATAGTCAAGAAGGTAGGTGTAAATCCACAGAAGTCATAGTTGCTCTCTATCTCACTCTTGCTGGTCACATACCTTTAGTTGCATGTGACATCTTTCCACTAGCTTCTGCTTAGTGCTTGTCCTTCCCTCAGCGCTCACTCAAACTATGTTACCCTGCTCAGTGCACAGGGGCTGCCAAGTCCATCTCACCTGGGTCAGGAAAGTCGGGCTTCCAGGAACTGAAATGGTGGCGTGACTGCTACACGATCTAATGCAGTCGAAGGCATGTGTGTAAGAAGGGTGTAATTAATTTTCTTAAAGTGCTTATCTCTCCTCATTGGCTAAAGAGAGAGATGAGAGAATACAGAGATGACACATGATGTTTTTCATTCCTGAGCTTAAGCATGAGGAACCCATCCTCAGATAGTAGTACTACAGAATGAACTGATGACATTCTTTCATGTAATTATTTGCATAATTTATTCCTTGCTAGCACAATTCAAGGTTTTCTACAGTGCCTTATGCTTATCCTTCCCTGTTCATATTATAAAAAAACTCACAAAACCCAAGCAGAACCAGTGTACACAACTGATTTGAGTTACATTCCTAGGATTGTCTTTGGGATTACTTAAGGAATTAGATGCCAATTGGCACAAAAACACTGCTCCTTAATTTACAGGAAGTGCAAGTTTCACTAACATTAAAGCTGGTCATACACTGAAGATATTTACAGCATTTTTAACAGCTGCAAAAGTCAAAGCATGGAGTGTTGGAAAACAAGCTAGTAAACTTCTTATTTCCTTGTAATATCTGCCATCATGAAACTCAGCCTTTTCTGTAAGTACTACACTGTTACACACGAATTTCAATCATGCGTATGCTGTTCTGGAGAAAAAAAAAAGGACAAACCAAGAAAGTCAGTGTCCCATTCTTCTGGACCTTGTCACTCCTGTATGCTGACTTGCTGTTACTGGCTTGTAAGGTGATGTTGTACTGTCGCTGTAACCACAGGCTTTTCTTGTTCCTCCTTTTCCTTCCCTTTGTTTCCTCCATTTTCTCATTTAGTAGTCTGTACTGGGTAGAGATTTTTCTGAGCAGCATGGGTGGTCATCCATTTAGTCAAGGACATTTTTGTCCATACCTATAATGGATTGCAAAAATTCAGTGTGCACTATAATCTTAATGTATATGCCACCCCAGTTAATTTGCTCTGTTAACACCAATATTTTGAGACAGTTATCCAGTTTAACCCCATTTGGTAAAACCAGTTCCAGGCCATACAAAGTACAGGTATTTAAACAGTGTAACGTTATAAGACAATCAGTTTGTTGCCTGAAAAAGCCTCTACAAATGACATGAAAACATAAAAGAATTATTCTCAATCTTCTGTTTATTTCTGGATTGCACCACTGTTCTTAAACAGTTGCAACACTGTTCTAGGCTCTTAAACTTCTGCTGGCTTGTGGGTATCTTGGGCTTTTGTAAACTCCCTGTAGAGACACTT